GAGTTGGCCAATAACTTGTATCAGAAAATTCTGATTTGAAGATATAAAAATGCTAATTAGATGAATTGGTTATTCAACGTGTAATGAAAAAATATTGAAAGATCAAATTCTGGAAGAGGTGAAACATTTTATCGGACTCGTCAAAATATTTATATATTGTTATACATTAGAAAAGGTTAAACAAAAGGGGAGAAGGCTACTTCACCGGTATTGAAATAATTCACTGAAGAACCTTCTCAGTAATTTTTTTTCTGTACTTTTCTGTCATTTTCTTCCCAAGAAAGTCTGTGTTTTATCTCTATTCTTACTTAATATGAAAGCAAATTCAGAAATACTGATTTTCCCCACAGAATAGAAATTTCATCCTCTGATAACCTACCATGAATTGTGACTGCCTGCCACTAATGTGATCAGACACACTAATAGCATGTATTGCTTATCACTGTAATATTTCTGTAAGTGCTATTGATGACTCACAAAACCACTGCATGTTGATCTCAATTAGTTGGACCAGCTTGCATGTCTGTACAGGCATTTCTTTGCAGTGAAGATACTCCAAGATTTTTAATATTTTAATCTATGTAGATGGCTCCAGAAGTAATGCCTCCTATTTACTATCAGTACCTGTTGGGGGATGAAAGGATTGAACACAACATTGCTGAAAAGCACTTGGGGGTACTGGTGGATGGGAAGGTGGACATGAGCCAGCAATGTGCCCTCACAGCCCAGAAAGCCAACTGAATCCTGGGCTGCATCAAAAGAAGCACGGCCAGCAGGGCAAGGGAGGTGATCCTGCCCCTCTGCTCTGCAATGGTGGTGCCTCACCTGAAGTTACTGCATCCAGATGTGGAGTCCTCAGTGCAGGAGAGAACAGACCTGTTGGAGTGCATCCAGAGAAGGGCCGTAAAAATGATTCAAGGGATGGAACACATCTCCTATGAGGACAGGCTGAGAGAGCTGGAGCTGTTCAGCCTGGAAAAGAGAAGGCTCTGGGGAGACCTGATAGCAGCCTTTCAGTAGATAAAGGGGGGCTGTAAGAAAGAAGAGGACAGACTCTTAAGTCTGTGTTTGCTGTGATAGGGCAAGGGGAAATGGTTTCAAACTTAAAGGGGAGATTTAGACTGGATATAAGGTAGACATTTTTTACAGTGAGGGTGGTTTGGCACTGGAACGGGTTGCCCAGAGAGGTGATGGATGTTCCATCCCTGCAGGTGTTCAAGGTCAGGCTGGACAGGGCCATGAGCACCCTGCTCTAGCTGCAGGTGTCCCTATCCATTGTAGGGGAGGTGGGCTAGATCGCCTTTTAGGGTCTCATCCAACTCAAATGATTCTATGATTCCATTTATTTCCATGGAAACTACAAGAGATACAAAGAGCACAATAATATGATTTGATAGAGCAAATTCTTAGCTACAAAGCTTTTTTTTTTTTTTTTTTTTTTTTTTTAACCATAGTTGCCACCATTCACTGTGTATTTTCACCAACCATGAACAGGAGCCTGCATGCCATGCTAATAAAATTCTGCACCAGCAGAAGTGACCCACTGTTGCTATCACCACTGCTGAAGTGCACCATCCACCTCACTGTGCTCGTATCCACTGTTTGGTATCCATAAATATTCAGCAAACATCAATGAATGTCAGTGGGTGCCATTTTTTCTGTATGGAGGAATTCATTGACACACTTTTGCTTCATATGCACTTCCATGTCAGATGCCATTTTGTCAGACTGCTCCTCTGCTTCTACCTGTCAGATGGCAACAACATGTAATGGAATACTGTTGAGAAGGTCCAGCCTCTATTGCCATACCACCAGCATCAATCTCTGACATCATGGGCCAACATCATAGTATAGGAGGCATTACTTTTGGAGCAGCCCTCATGTCTAAACAAAATCAACATTTTTTATGGCAGAAAACTGGGAAAGTGGGAGTGGTAATTACTGGTGGCAATGTGGACAATTGGGAATTGAACTGCATAAAGCAGTAAGACAGAAAGGAAGACCACAAGAAATTAATATGCTGGGTCAGAGAGCTAAGTAATTGAACTAGCAGAGGAGGGAAAAAGAAAGAAGATCATTTTTAAAAGGCCATGAACCTTACTATTATATTATGTGGTGACTCAAAATCTGTTCATGCATTACAGTACATGAATTTTACATTTTATCCAAGCACTTTTTTAAGAGCCTCATCCTGTTGCATTTTTGCTGTAAGGTGTGTGCAGCAGGCTGACAGGGGAGGCGGGCCTAAATGTTTCATATCCAACTATCAGTATACCTGCACATATTACCTAGAAACTGCAGAGCACCCGTTATCTTGTCACTGACTGGCCATCCAGAGCATCCTCAATACAGTAGAGTTAGTACACAAAAATCTAAGGAATGACAGGCTTTTAGTCAGGAGCAGGAAAGTACCAGCTTAGCTGCAATGGGAAAACTACCTGGGCCATCAGCTTAAACCTAATGTGCAAGGCCATTGAGGCTGCTGTATTTGCCAGTTACTTTTGCAGCTAGGAAGGCTGTGCAACAGCTGGACACAGCTTCATGGAAGAAGCTGATGTTGCTTATCCCACTGTCAGCAATTAAAGAAGATTCATTAATAGATACTGCCATTGAAATTGATTTCTGTTATAAAGTGCACAGGGATGCACCTGTGTGAAGGGTATTCCATGAAGATTAATGGAACTAATAGACATTTGATTGGCTCTGAGTAAGATTTGGTCATGTATCAAAATAATTTGTGACATTTTAGAAGTACTGGAAAGTAAATTGTCTGAAGATAAAGTTATGCAGCAACCCATGAGTTTAAGAAATGACATGTTTGACAGAAGGTGATCCATTGCCATCACTGGAATTGTACTGCTTATTGAGATTGGCTGACTCCAGGCAAGTGCAGTGTGCCAGGTCTCACTGGCTCTTCTAGCCTGATCACATGCTAAGCCTTAACACTCAATTCATCAATTCATCTTGAGGTATTTGCTTCAATCTGCCCCTACCTACATATATTAGTTATCTAAAAGGTAGCTGCTCTATGCTACTCATCCAGCCTCCATCTGTAAGCACCTGCAGAAGGAAATCAGAGCATCTGTGGTGCATTTCTGCTGAATCCTTCACAAGAAGCCCAGCTCCATTAGCAATCTGAGAGCAGTGGGAACTAGTTTTATGGACATAGATTCATGCAGTAAGAACCCATCCTACTTTGTGACATTGTTTCTATAATAGAAATCCTTAGAAAACAATGTTTTTTAAATTTTAATAAGAAGAGGAATGGGATGTCTCACCTGGGAGCTCTTGTGGATATCCAGGCTGACAACCCTGCAGATCTCTTTGAAAAGTACCCCTCAGATCTGCTTCTTTTTCCTGCCTCCAAACCTTTTCACTCCCCCAAGCTAAATTCCTACTAAAATGCTGAGCCCATAGCATGTCTCTAGAATTAATTCCTCTTTTTCCATCTCAACCCCTGTCCCAGGTGCTGGTCTCTAGTCATCTCTTTCAGAATTTTCTGTAGTATCTCACTACCCAAACCTTGTCTCATATAAACCTGCCTTGCCCAAGGACTGTAATACATAGGACTTGCATAATTATCAGCTGGTTTCTCTTCTCCAGTAGGTCCAAGTTGCAGGTTCTTCATTTCAATGTTTGTGGCAAAAAAAGTTGAGATGAAAAAAAGTGTTATTAGAGGGAATGGGATCTTTTCACTTGGACTCTTCTTTACAGAATCCCAGCATGACTGAGATTGTCAGGGACTTCTGGGTCCCTCTAGCCCAAACCCTTGCACAAACAGGGCACCCAGAGCAGGACACCCAGGACCACGTCCAGGTGGCTTTTGGAGAACTTCACAGCCTCTGGGCAACCTGTGCCAGCGCTCTGTCACAGAAGTGTTTTCTGGTGTTCACGGGAAACCTCCTGTGTTCCAGTTAGTGTCCATTGCTTCTTGTCCTTGCACTGAGAACCACTGAAAAGAGCCTGGCTCCATCCTCTGCACCTTTCCTTCAGGTATCTATGGACACTGATAAGGTCCCCTCTAAGCCTTCTCTTCTCCATGCTAAATAGGCCCATTTCTCTCCACTTTTGTTTGAGAAATGCTCCAGTCCCTTGACCATTTTTGTGGTATTTTCCTAGACTCTCCAGTATGTCCATGGGTTTCTTGTACTGGGGGGCCCAGAACTGGGCACAAGGCTCTAGATCACCTCCCTCAAACATGATGGCCATACTGTTCCTAATGCTGCCAAGAATACCATTAGCCTTCTTTACAACAAGGACACTTTCCTGGCGCCTGTTCATACCCAAGGCTACGGGGAATAAAACACTGTTCCCAGTAAAAAAAGGCAGGGATCTCTTGGAAACAGTCCAGTGGAGAGCCACAAAGATGGTGAAGGGCCTGGAGCATCTCCCCTATGAAGAAAGGCTAAGTGAACTGGGTCTGTTTAGCCTTGAGAAGAGAAGACTGAGAGGGGACCTGATCCAGGTCTATAAATATCTAAGGTGTGGGGGGCAGAGTGGTGAGGCCAGACTGTTTTCAGCAGTGTGCGGAGACAGAAAAAGGGGAAATAGCCAGAAGCTGGAGCATAGGAAGTTCCGCACAAATGTGCACAACAACTTCTTTAGGTGAGGGTGACGGAGCACTGGAACAGGCTGCCCAGGGAGGTTGTGGAGTCTCCTTCTCTGGAGATATTCAAGACCCGCCTGGACGCCTACCTGTGCGACCTGGTGTAGGGATCCTGCTTTGGCAGGGGGGTTGGACTCGATGATCTCTGGAGGTCCCTTCCAACCCCTACGATTCTGTGATTCTGTGATTCTGTGATTCTTACTTCAACAGTTCATACTGTACCATGGTATTATTTTTCAGCAATTTCATTAGCATACATTACATTCTTATTCTGAATAGGGGCACGATAATGTTTTATTGTATGAATAGTTGCAGGACACAGACTTCCCTGCCTCCTCTCCTGCCATCCTGCCCTTCATATCTCCACTAATCTTCAGCTTTGTACTTCTGGCAGTTGGCAACTCCTGGGCCCCGTGGCTGAGAGATGAAACCTGCAGGACTAGAAGGAAGATGCTGAGCCTTTAATTGATTCCCGAAGCAACGTGCAGGAATCCACAGGAGGACATTCTATTGATCACACAGCTTAAATATTTGGTATCTAAAGTAGGTCTTGGAGAATTGTTTAGATTTTTCAGTTTTAAGTGAACAGACAGTTCCACAAAGAGAGGTTTAGCTTTGAGGGGTAACTGAGCTCTTATCCCATATTCATTTTTATATCTCCATGGCTTTCTGTACTGAGTTTGCACCTTCTTTCAAATGTTTCCCCCCCGTCAGTATTACATCTGAAGTGAATCAGCCTGAGATTTGAATACTTGTCATATGGGGCTTTTCTGCCTCCTCAGCAGTGAAGTTGGTGAGTTACAGTCATTCATAACTTGAGCTCAGTATGTTTACCATACCAGCATGGTTGCAGATGCATCATAGCTAGCTTCGTTAAATACTGCACCAGCTGGGAATCTTTTCCTTTCTTAGACGTATTTTTGGGTACACACACACAGCGATGATACCTGAATGAATGAGCTTGCCCGTGTTTTAATTTTAGGTTTCATTTTATGGCTCTTTATTTTTCCTCACACTTTTAGTTTTCCTACATTAACTTTGAAAGTGTTTTTCCTGATGTGAGAACAGTCAAGCTGAGTATTTCTAATGACCTTATTATTTAAAATAATATGCCACTGGGTGTGTGACATGAAGATGTCAAGTAGGTATTAAATGCAGTCATACTAAGTAAGGTTTTACTGTCTATTTTATTCAGCTGGAACAGAAAGTTACTTGCTTCTTTATAATTAATCAAAACACTTTGAATAAGCTCTCAGGTCTTTCAAAAACTCTAACGTGTGAACTCAAGAATTAAAAAAGTAACAAAATATCATTGTGATAAGTCTTGGAGTACTTCACAGCAAGGATGAGAGTAAGCACTCCTAGAAACATTTAAGATTAAAAAATATTTATTCTGAAATGACAGAAAACATTGCATCTCATGCTGTTCAAAATAAATTGCTTTTTTAAAGAATTAGAAAGTAATTTTAAAATGGTTTCGTGTTTTCCATTCCATTTTTTCCTGCAGTCCTTCCCTGTCTCATGGAGGTAAGCATACTGCAGAATGTCACGAAGATGAAGACAGAAGCAAAAGAAGAAGAGAGGAAAACTTCTGGGATCTGAATACCTTTTTTCCCCCATTTACTTTAGAAACTGGAATAAAAATTAAAATATTATTTTTGCTAAATAAATAGTATGCTATTATTATCATATTATTGTATTTTGAAGTTTAATATTAATTTTAAGTTAATTTACATTTTATATATTCATGCAAATACTTTCCCAAATAAAGAAAATATAGAACATATTTAATGGGATGCTAATATAGGTTTATATAGCCTACATGCCATGTGGGATGAGGATGTGCTCAGGAAGAACTGAAGGGCTGGAACAGTGTGGGGCTCGTGAAGGTCACCCTGCAGCCCAAGAACATGGGGATGTAGGCCAGGATCAGGATCCACACAGGGTCAGGGGTCAAAGCTGTACTTAGGCATGGCCAAAATGGCTTTGCAGGATCCTCAGCAGAGGGCAGGGGTGCTGCAGTTGCAGGATCAGCCATGTTTTGTGAGTGGGTAAAGTCGTTGTGCTTTCCACCTCCAGACCTTTTTTTGAACATCTGCTTAGGCTTTGACACCTACAGGAATGACAGCACCGATTATAGACACTGAAATTCTAATGTCCTTTTCCAAAGAATTGTGCCTCAATCATCAGCAGTGCCGTATTATACACCATCATGCTTATAACATGTTATTTCTGCTGTTTCCTTGACCAAAGCCTTCTCCAGAACATCTGCAGGCCTCAACCCCACAGCCTTCAACCTTCCTCATGGGTAACTGGCATGGAGGCCTTATGTTGTACAGTGGCTGTGGTGTCACACTGCCTTTCCACACAGAGCCAGATGTATGCCGTCCACCAAAACCTCTGTGGAGAGGTTGGAGGTAGTTGTCCATCACAACAAAGCCTGAAGAGTTAAACTCCATGATAGCAGCATCAAAATAGTAAGTCCAATTAAGGTAATCGCCAGGGAGCAATTGAAGGAGAAATAAAATTGTGGTGCTCTCATTTCCATAAGCAAATGAAAATAATTTAGATGACTTGTATCTAGATGAAGGAGAACGCCTATGTAAAAACTAATTACCCTCTGTGCTAATTACGACAAAGAGGATAAAGGACAAACCTTTGAAAAATATCCAAAGATATTAAATGGAGTTTTATTAATAGATGAAATGAGCTGAAAATGAGAGTTGTGATATATTGTGTTAGGGCCTAGATTCAATAAAAATTCTCTCTGGCTTCCGCTTCACAGCAGCCCCATAAAATCAATTTATTATATGAAGCCAGATGGGTCTTTTATTGAACCTGGACCTTATTCATTAAATAAAAGTAATTACCATCAAATGTAAAAGAACCAATACCTGCTGCTTTATGAATCAGTCACCATCCTCATACATTTAACTGATAATGAGAAAGAAAAATATATATTTAAATCAATAGACATACAGTTCATCAAGTGGAAGAGCAGGGCCTGTAATACATTTTCTGGTTTAATTTGTTCCTAAGCACAGGGTTCGTTTAAATCATAATATCTGCTTCAGCTGTTGAACTCAGATCAGCCACCAGCTCCTGGCACGCTGAGCACGATGGCTCTTCCTCTTTTCCCTCTAAGGACTCCCCGGTCCTCTGGCCTCAAACAAAGGACAAAGACAGGGACTGCAAACACAAGCAGCGGCAGCAAGCACAGCTCACCTTTCTGTTTGAAAGGAGCTTTGTTGTAATATCAGCGTTGACAGTGCTTTGAGCTGGGGGCAGCACCCCCTGACTTCTCAAATCTTCTCTGTACCTCAGATGTTGTTCTGTGCGGGACTTGACATGAAATAAAGCATGATATGAAGCCAGGGAATCAGCTTGTGTCAGGTGCAGTTATCTGGGGGAATCATACCTCAGATGGGCCATGAATACATACCAAGCTTTAACAGCATAAACGTTGAAAGATGAAACGAAAAATTAATCACACTACCTAGCCTATTTCTTTGATTGTGAATGACAAGTGACCACACATGAGAGGGCTTTTGCTTTGCACAGCTGAAAAAGGCACAGTTTGGAAGAAACCAGGGGGAAAACTTAAGGAAGAGCAAGCTAGTGCAAGGGTCTGATGGGAAGCATGACGTTTTCAACGCAATTGGGAAGGCAATAAAACTGGGCTGGAGTCAGACAAGGAAGAATGTTCCCAGCAATGCTGGTGCTGTTTGCACAGGTATGGTTTACAGACTTTTACACGTGTCTGCTCACAGACAGATATAAACCAAATGGAGTGAACAGACTTTGATTTCAGTATTTTTTAATACCCAATATTTTTTACGTTCTGAAGTATATCAGATTGGCATACTGAATTAAGTCACTGTCACTACTATTTGTATGAATCAGTGAGTTTGTTGAAAGTAATCACTTCAAGTCAACACTAGTGACAATAGCATAATTATTGAATTATGTGACTGTGAAAAGTCACATTATAACTTCAAACACAGGCCTTGCAATACAATTCGTTGTCTTCAGCTGATGTTTGTAATACAGCACCTTCCTCCTGCTGCCCCAGGGGAGTTTGTATTACATCTGTTCAATTACATCTGAACTGTGCGCTTTATAACATGCAGAGGACAAAAACTTCTGGCAGTTAAGTCACTGCTCACTCGAGTGCAGCCTCTGGTTTAAATCTGACCTGGAAACAGGCTTCCCTTTTCCTATTTAGTTTCTGTCTGCATTTTTCCTTCTGTCTTTCAGGATGATAATAATGATGATTTGTGTTGCTGCTACCCCACTGTGTCAGCTACTCTCTGAACGCTGAACAAAAAGGTTTCTCTGCAGGACATTTCTACTGCTTGTTTATGGCCTTTATTCCCTGGGTAGCAGCAGTGGGATTCCTGCTTGGCAGAAGAGCTGAAATGCTTATCTGGCGGAGGTGGAAGTTGCATTTTCCTAAAACTTTAAAGCACTCAGTAGGGTCAGACCCTGAGCACTAGGAGGTAGCCCGGTCCTACAGTGAATTCTTTAAAGGCTGACAAAATAGATTAGTTTAACCACTTGCCAGAGGAGTCCCTGATGTCTTCAGAAGAGAGAAATCTCAGAGACTTCGCTCCTCAAGGCTGCTGAAATAGATGTGCTTTGTACTTGCTGAGCTTTCCACAGCATCCATGATCACACCACAACTGGCAAGGCCCTTCTCTGGCACTTGAGTTTCTTCCCTGACATGAGCTGGCTTAGACCTGATGTACCAGATGATGGCAGATGGCTGAACTGTGTGGAAGCACACTGATGGCTCAAGCTCTTTCACCCCATGCTCTTCTTCTCTCCCCCACGTTTTCCTCTCAGCTCTTACAAACTTCAAGGCAGTGTCCGTGCTTGATGACTAAATCTGGTTCCTTGGGTGGCAGAAATGGCTAATGATCAGTCCTCCTTCAGACCTCCAAAGGCTTTATCTGAACCTATAGGACTCGGAGAGTAGCTGATTGTATGGAACATGCAGGAGCTGAAGCCCACAGTCAGTGCTAAGGTATATAACTATATATATAAATCCTGTAGTTATTGATAAGTTATTGAAAAGGGTTTGTGCAGAGCAATGAGGAATGCCAAACAAGCCACCAGGAACTGTAACACAGGAATGTTCCCAAAACTTGTTCCTCGTGGAGCCCTGCATGGTAAGAGAGAAGCCAGGGCCCCTGGCTCTGACAGCAAGCATGAACTTCTCTCAAAAGCAGAATCAAGCTCAATGGTAAAGCATTAGGACTTTTGTTCTTTAGTGCTCAACACATTCCCAAGAAGATGACATGGTGCCCTGAGTCTTCTCATCATGCTGTTTACAATAAGCCAACACTATGCTAAAAATTCAAGCAGGTACCTTCACCCATTCATCTAAGGAAAAAAATCTGTAATGCTATATTATTAGCAAGTGGATCCTATTGTTGTACATCAGGTGTGTGCCAATCACATCCGTCAGCTGTTTCTGAGGGACATGGGCACTGCTCCACAGCAGCTCTGAGGTTCCAGCAGGGGCTGGAGGTTTGTTGGCACAGATCACCAGGTCTGCATCTTCTTGGTGAACTTTCAGGCTTTAAGCAAGTGGCAGCTGTTGAGAAATGTTGAGGTTGTACTTTAAGCTGAGATAGCTGACAGTTGACTGGCTGTAGTGCCTTACATTTGATGGATGGATGAGTTTGATGGATGCACAAGAGCAGGTATGAGCATATAGGCTCATGGTCCACTTGCCTTCAGACCAAGAAGCTATCTCATGCGTAGCCAAGGACACAAGCTTTCTGGATACGCTTGGCAACACTCTGCCAGGTGTATTTGACACACAAAAAGCATAGAAGACAGGTCTTACCTCTGTCTGCAGCTTAGCTTTCCTGTCTGCTGCTATAGTGGCGAGTCTGGTGCTATCGGCACCATCAGGCTGCAGGGCAAAGATATGTCAGCTCAGTTAATATGACTGTTGTCCCTCTTGTGAAGTGTCTGAAACCTGCATAAGGAGCTGAGCATGCTGAAAGAGGTTCTGAGGATGTCTTGAAGGTCAGAGTCAAGATGCCAGGTGGCAACATGATGGCAGCATGAGCCTGGGCGTGAGGAGAGAGCTGCAGGCTGGGTGCAGTCATTATGTAAATCCTCGTACTTTACTTTCAAGTGCTGAGGGATATTTAATTGTGGTGTGCTGGCTGTGCATTCAGTATGAGGCTTCTATTAATCACAGGATCAGCCTTCATTAGAAGTCAAATTAATTTGTGGGCAATAAGCAGAAGGATTGTTCTTTCCCAGTCTTAGAGAGCTCTAAAAGGGATCAGAGTCTTATGCTGTTTCTTTTTCTTTTTTCTTTTTTTTCCCCCAGAATGGTTTATCTTAGATATTGATTCAGGTATTATCCTCCTTGCTTCAAAATGTTTCCTTTCAGAGATTATGAAGAAATATACTTGATAGATAAAATCTTCAGTCCAACGAAACTGTGATCCACACCTCTTTCCCATTCCCAACTAATTCTTCATTTTAGTTTTGTCTTATGTGATATAGGCTTAGCCTTGTCATTCTCTGCTCAGCTTTGATACCTGATTAGGGACGTTTGGAATATACAAAGGAGGAAATCCGACCTGATAAAGATTTCGGCATGGC